CACCTCAAGTATATTCTGCTAATTAATCTAAGAAAATAGATAATCGCACAACTACGGTAAGTTGGAGGCAAATCCAAAAATCACAAGGAATTAAATTCTCTTGACTCTCGGCTTTCTGCCACTACTCTCCATCTTCATGCTAAAGTAAAACCTTATAATAAGAAAAATGAATATTAATCAAGCTTTTAATCGAACCCTAATTCAATTAGGACTCTTTCATAACCACCATGGGTTTGATAAGCTTGAATTGTCCTCAATAATTTCTCTTATAAACTTGCAATATTCGAGCTTGCCTTTTCAAATTATAGTTTTAGAGAAGCGTAAAGGTTATATAAGAGTTGAAATATTAATGTGAATAACATAGAATATACATAAACACCTTGTGCTTCTATCTAGCGGTTTATTCATCACATATGGAAAAGTTATAAATATGACATTTGGTGATTTAAATATGGCGTAATTTCTTCTTTTATCGAGTTAACTAAATAGAATTGGCATACATTATTTCAAGAACTTATACTATATTATAATTTATATTTAGTAGCTAAAATATATTATTTAATAATATTTGTATAATTTTTAAAATTTTATACTCACTGATAGTAGGGTACACGCGCAACGTGCGTACCCTAAGACTAGTTATTTAATATTGAAGGAGGAATTTGATTTTTAAGATAAAGTTGGGGATCGAAATAATTTTTACCCATTATAATTTGATGTAAAACTTGGGTGCGAATAAAATATTTCACTAGATAATGTGACCAAACTTTGATCTTATCCAAACATTTTACGTTTTATTTTTTTTTAAAACCCCACCCATGTTCAATGCCTATAACTTAACTTCGATAAGAGCAAAACTTCCGTTGACCAAAATTTGAAGCTTTAGTCAAACAACTGAAGAACATTGCCCCGGAATCTCGGAAATTTTAGTTCCAAGGTTTTGGTTTTGGTTTTGGTCCCATGTGAATGCAGGACCTTTGACTTCTTTGGATTCACTGAAGAAAGGACATCGGTTTTCTAAAAAGAACATTTTGTTTGTGAATATTTATTTTAAAAGAATAATGGCTTCACTAATCATTTTAATTGAATTTAAATTAGTACTTTTCTGGTGGATCATCTAAAAAAAAAATGTATTTACTAAATTAATCTTAATTAATTGTTACCTTGACATATTAAAATATGTAAATAAGAACAAATTTTGAAAAATTAATTTTTTCTTAATTATGTAAATTGACATTTATATTTGACCAAAATAAAAAAATAAAATAGTCATGGACCGGATGAAGTAATGTACGACAATAGTGGAAGCTTGTGGTGTTTTTGTTGATAATAGAGAGGTGCGAAAATGTGAAAATATATTCAGTTTATATATTAACAAGTACAGGCCACAGGGAATGAGAAAATATTGAGTAATAAACTAAGAATATAGCAATAATAAACGAAACTAACACTCATTTGGTTTAAAATATTCTTTTTGAAAATATTATGTAAAATTAATTTTAAACTAAAACAATTTTGTAAAAGAATACTTTTGTGTGAAATATTATATGTAATAATCTAGTTCGGATTCACCTTCCAAAGCACATGCATATGTTTCTGTTTGCTTTATGAGAAAAGAGAAAAAGTAAAAAGGAAATGTTTTTCACTGAAAGCTAAGCCTTGTGTCATATCACAGATTACAGATATAATCCGTGCAAATTAACAATTATGTCAATCATGCTTCACTTGAAGATGGCATAAAAATTATTATGGTTTGCCTTCCTATTTCCTGTGGAATCTCTCTGCAAATTTCTAAATAGAAAAAATAACTAGAAGTACTTTGGCTTTGTATTCTCTAATTCCCTTTATTAATTATCATCTTATCCACTGAGATTAAAAGAGAAAACATGACACAAAGAGTTTATCTATGATGTCCACGAGCTCATAATACTGCTTTTCTTTTTAATTTTTGATATAATATTTTTGAAAAACAATAGTAACACGCTTTGATATACTCATTACTCCTTTTTTAAAAGCAATAGCACGTGAAGGGAATTTTTATAGCAAATTGGCTGTCTTTTTCAGGTTACTAGTTAACTTATTACGAGTAGTTATATGTAATTATCTTTTACGGGTAAATATTATTTTACACCGTTAAACTCGTAAAGAATATGGTGTGCTACACTTTATTGCTACCAATAATGAAAAATGATAAAGGCAATAAAAAGAAAACTGTTGCTCCTTATGCTTGTTCCGCTCAACTCTTCCTTCAGAGCTACCCTTGCCTGAAAGCGGAAGAGGTAGCTTACTAACCTAAAGTAACAAGGTTCTGAAAGAAAGACGAGCCTTAAGGCAACTAAAGCTAGGAAGGTAGGTTAAAGTGACTAGTCTTTCTTATCCGAAAGCAAGCAAGACAACAAGGGAGATTTTAGGCAACTTGCTGGTTTCGAGATGGGTTTCCTTGCGAAGAAGAAAACACAGAAGAAAGAAATTATCAATCTTGCGATGAAACCAAAGAAACTTTGGTCCCATTACAAGAAATTAAAATGTGATGAAAGTATTGTAAAGATAGGAAGTAGGCTGTTGTTTTGAACAAAGCGTAGATGATTCAAAAACGGACAATGATGGAACAAAAGCAGAAAACTACACTAAAACAGGAAGCAGAGACACAACAAATAGTCAATGCAAAGGCAAATAAGGCAAAACATGGGAACGGGTAAAGGCATGTGAAGCAGTCCAAATCTTGGATACTGTTAACTTGGGACCAATTCCTGACTTTAACCTGCATGTGTTGCTTGGCCTTTAATTTATTTTTTCACGATTACGTATTCAAAGTTTAAATAAATGAAGGTAGAATATAGTTGTACCCATTGCGCCTTAGTTGATACAGATTAGTTGACAGTTGTAAATAGAGGTGTTCGTTGATCGTTACGGTACGGTATTTAGATTTGATTTTTCGGTATTCAATTTTTTATAATGTTATGTCAATATCATACCTAATTAAATTCGATATGGTTCGGCTTTTCACTTTTCGGTTTATTCGGTAAGATAACTTCGATTTGTTCGACTCGAATATTAACTAATGTATATACTATAATATTCTTAAGTAAGATATTTACGAATATAAAAATAAAAATATTATAATATTGTGAAAAAAAAGAATGGAATCCAAAAATGCTAAACCTAGAACGGAGAAAGGTTGGCAACCAAAGAAAAGTGAAAAAGGCAAGTATAGTGGGAAAAGATTATGTTAAAGGTTAAAGGGAATTATAAAAATAAGGGATGTAAAATTTAGAACTTTAATATTTATATTATAATAATGATATGTGTATTATGCAACTTAGTATATATTTTGGTACGGTATCAATATTTTATTTTTGAATACGGAATACCATACCTAATACCAAGTTTTTAACAAAATTTAAGCCCAATACTAAAATACTAAATACCAAATACCAAAATTTTCGGTTTCGAAACGGCAATTCGGTATTTATCAAATTATGCTCAGCCCTAGCTGTAAACCGTGAAATTCAAAAATAGTCATATTTACAAGTGATAATTAAAAAATAGCCACAGTTTCAAAAGTAATCGATATTTAGTCACTTTTCATGTAAAGATAAATATGAACGAAAACACTGTTCAAAATCCGAAAAATATTCCAGCATAATATACTGGAGTTCCAGTATAATATGTTGATCCCGCATAATATGCTGGAAGTTCATACACATGTGCTCCAATCTCCAGTATACTATGCTGGAACTTTCCGTGTTTGGAGTTCCAGCATAATATGCTGGAAATTCATACAGATGTGCACCAATCTCCAGTATATTATGCTAGAACTTTCCGTGTTGCACTAAAATAGTAATATGCTGGAAATTCATACACATGTGCACCAATCTCCAGTATATTATGCTAGAACTTTCCGTGTTGCACTAAAATAGTGTCTATTTTTCAATGACTTTGCAAACGATTTTTTAATTACCAATCCGAAAACTGACTAGCACGTACTATTTGCACCATTTTAGTTGATAGCATACGGTCCATTTAATTATTGGCAGATGTTTAGGTAAGTTATGCCCAATATCAAATAAGAAATTTTGAGATTTTGCTGCATATATAATCCGGCGAAAAGGTTATTTTTTTTTATAGTTCTTTTTTTAGTAAGGTCAAAACTTAAATGGTGACAAATGAAAAGAGAATATATAAATCATTTGTGCTAATCAAGGAGGACATGCAGTTGATACTTGTGGAAGGATTGGTTTAGCCTGTAGATGTCCAAGCAGTGCTCATTTAGTTTGGGGTATTATCGATTTTAGCACGTGCCAAAATTATTTACATCGGTAGTCGAAAAAGAGTAAAATTTATATAATTTTTGTATATAAGATATGGAATATATATATATACACAAAATATATANTTTTGGGTCAAGTCACCAAATTAAACGGGACAATTAATTACTAACACGAGTAGACTTGATCATATATTATGAAATAGAAGAATGGTGATCTTGTAGCAGTGGGGACATGATGGAATCCGCTAAGAACGAATTAAAATAGGAATCAAAAGAAGTGATCCTTTATGTAATATGATAGTGTAAATATTTAATTTTCAATATTAATGTTTACTACACAACAATTTTTAGAAAAGCCTTTAAAGATTGTAACAGAATTCGAAAGCCTTCTCACTTCTAATATCAAGATCTTAACGACAAAAAGCCACTGGAAAAACCAAAAACACAACTGCATATCATGACATAGATTAACGAATTAAAATACGCCAGTTCACAAGTGCATACAAGCAACAAAATAAAGGAAAGATTTAGAGATAAAATTATGAAAATACTGCGAGTTCTCTAAAGACTCTTGAAGATAAATGACACAAAAAGCTTAAAGATATTCACGTTCACCATTTGCAAAGTAATGCGTTCAAGTAATAAAAAAAGTCATTAGACATCACACAGCAAACAAAAACAGTAACTAAAGAGTTGGCAAAACATAGACTCAATTAGAGATGAGTTTCCAAAAAGAAGCACATATATATATATATATCAGATTTATAAAATATGGCAGCGTTTCTCATTCATACGACGGTTAGCTTCCTCAGTATCCCGTTGAGCACTGTCCAAACGTTTTCTGAACACGCGAATCTCATCCTCAAATTTGGATTGAGCATTTTTAGCTTTCAGTTCAGCTACTACCCTCTCAGCACGCTCCGTAGCCAATTGCTCTACAAGCCTTTGCGTGACCTCCATCAGCTTATTCGTAACCTGTCAAATACCGTGATGCCAGTGGCGAAACCAAGAATTTTCTCAAGGTGTTCAAACTTAAAAAAATGTTATGTACCTCTAAAACCTGATATTTTATATATATATGCAGTGTAATTTTCTGACAAAGAGCGGTCAATTGACAACTCTAACCAAAGAGTGGCTTCTCCTCTGCATGATGCACAGGCTCCGCTAGAAAATCTAGACTTATAACTTAAATGGATACTGAATCTGATGTTTCTAATCAGGATCGACCTAAAAGCAAATTTTAAAGGATTTCCAACTTAACAAAAATTAGCTTCTAGTACAAGACGTCTGCAATATAACTACGTACATTGGGGGCAGCGAGTGTTGGAAATGATATCAGCAATTAAAGAAATCTAATAAGCAGTCTGCACAAGCTTGAGATTTCAAGTCATTTAACAAATTCCTGTTCTCTGATAAATATGGAATCTATTTTCAACTTATTCTAAACAAGATAGCATTGTTTGACTACGAACAGATACAGAAATCAAACATTCATTTTCTATTGATAAACACATGTTTTCAAATAGAAAAAAGCAAAAGTTTTTCAGCAATGATACATACCTCTACAGTTAGTCCCGTATATTTCTCCTCATAATACTTTGGAATTGGTTCCGTCGTTTCATTTTTCTCGTGCACAGCATCACCAATCAAGTAACTAATCCTCATGGCCTGATTATGAAGTTTCATGTTCAATATACCAACAAACGTTATTAGTCACATTCCTTGTAAAGTACTAACAAGGATAGTTAAGAATATAATCCAACCGAACTATTAAATACATACCTGTAATTCCTTGAACAATTCATTTGTATATGGTACACCATCATTCTTCTCCAAAACCAAATTCACAAGTGAAAGAAGTTCTTTCTGTTGTTTGGCTTTCTTTGTGGGATCTTTAGTCTTGTTGTCAAAAAGTACTTTCCTATTATCACACAGCTTAAGAGTTTCCTGTGAGGGTAATACAAATAATACTTCAGAACAACCTTTACAAACAGGACAATTTTCTCAACCATATGCAGTCAACACCAACAACAACATCAACAACAAATTCAGTGTAATCCCGGAAGGGTAGTGTGTACGCAGAAGGCAGAGAGGCTGACGCTCGACTTAGAAAACCATATGCACAGTCACAGTGTGAAAATGCTAGACATTACAAACCAATGAGAATTCTTCTCAAGCAGAATCAATATTCAAAAATAAAGATTTCGCCAAAATGTGGGAAATCGCCATGAATGGATCAGAACGACGAACCCTCTTTGAACAGATGAATGCAATGTAAACACATTAGATTCTATAAACTGTCAGCTAATTCTGAAGGCTAGGGTGCAAATATATCTGAGAAAACAATGTATGCACATAATCTTACACTTAAAGGCTCAGGGCAGTCACAGCCACCTAAGTAACCGTCCAAAGTCTCATCACTTTCTTCAAGCTCATCTCCTCCAGTGAAGACTACAATCATGTAATCACTAATTTTGTTACCAAAGAACTCCTGAAAGCTCTGCACCGCGGCTTGCTCTTCTCTAGAAAACCGAGTTCGCACAGACAAAACTAAAAGAACAGCGTGGATCCCATCCTTGGCCAAATCCATGCACTTAACAATTTCTTTGCCAATAACTTCAGGCTCACCAGAAAAGTCAAACAACCCTACAATTCCAACAACCTTAGCAATCAGAAATTTCACAGATTTCTTGAAGAATACATCAATAACAACAACTATGCTTCAGTCCCAACTGCCAAGCAAGTTGGGATTAGCGATATGAATCCTCGTTCCTTTCATTTAACTCAATTCATCATCTATCATTAATTACCAAAATAAAATAAAAGTACAAGTAAAAAAAGATACATATGCTAATCAAGTTCATTATAGCTTTGAAAGGAGTTGGCTATACCAGGAGTATCGATCACATTAATAGTCAGTCCATCGTCTAATTGAGCACTCTCAAGTTCACAAGTACTTGTAACACCAGAAGAACTGTACTTTGACGTGAATTCTTTTTTTCCAATAATGCTATTGCCTGTCGCACTTTTTCCATTACCGGTGCGGCCCAGCAGAACTAGTGTCCGAGCTTCATTTTTAGTAAATTCCCAATCATCATTAACTGCACTTCCACCCATTTATCGTTCTGAATCAAACTATACCTACAACAAAGGACGCGGTCAGAATAAAGGATGAAACATCAGAAGAAATACATCATTAACAGAAACACAGTAAAACTAGTGTCATGTGAGTTCTGAACATACAACTGACAATACAAGAATGAGAAATATACTGTTTAAGTGTTTAAGAGAAGATTAAGTTCTCATACAATAGACTAGGATGAGTTTAGTATTTACATTTTCCTGGCGTTTCAAAGCTTAAGACAACTACAAATTCAGTATAATATAAGTTGAGCAACAACATATATATACATAAGAGATGAAACTCGAGGTAGGAATCAGATGTGAGATTAATCCTGATGTTAAAATATGCCTACTAGCTACAATAAAAACCTTTAGGATGAATTGTTCGAAATGAATAAATGGTATTCAAAATCATATTGGAATAAAATCCTAGTGCAGGTAAGAACTTTTCACTTGGTTTGGTTTGGGATTATAAAAAGTGGTAAGTTTCAAGAGTAAATAAAAAATGAGAGGTTCTCCTTATTTTGCAAGAACGTAACACAGGCTACCCTAAAAATAAATTCAGCTTAATCTAAAACGGAAGGGGGAAAAACCCAACCCCACAAAAACAAAACACTCAACCAAAAAGAAAAAGGAAAATATCATACTAGGTAAGTGAATAAAGGCAAGGAAGACACTAAATTACAACTTACCACCAAACTTGCACACTCCATGCGAAAAAAAGAAATGCATTTAGCGTACGACATAAAAATATGCTAGCAACCTCATGGTTTAATGGGGTCGAAAAACAAAACCAAAACAGAAGCAAAAACAAACAGTATGTTAACGTGCACAGATTTTAAACATTAAACCATGTTTTATACACTAATAAAATAGGCTAAATCCTCCAACAAAAAAACTGTTTCTCCAACAAATAGAAACAAGAGTTTGAGCAAAGAGGCAGCAGTTTGCTAACCGTGACAAAGAGGCTGCAGTTTGGAATAGAGAGAGTTTGAGCAACGGATGAGAATAAATAACAACTTAATTTATTGGTAAAAGAGAGTTTTTGTGGCTTTTCATTCTCCAATCCATTGACATTCACTTACGATTTACGTAAACAGTTTCTACCTCGGGACACTTAATAGTCGCGCTTTGAATGTTTTATTGAGTTCATTGCATGTTTTCAATTTATTTTCTTGTAACAGTATTTATACATTCATTATATAATATTATACATGACTTAATATAACGTTGAATGTATAATATTGTATTAAAAAATTTGGATTTTGTCTCCTACGAATTCCAACTCATGAAAAAATCATCAAATAACTAAAATTTTCATTGAATAACTTTAAATTTTGATCACAACTTTCAAATGATATCCCAATGAGCCTTAATCATCAATTTATCAAAAACTTCAACAAATCATAAAACATTTATGAGTTATAATTAGAAAGCCTTCAGACCAGCATGAGAGCTAGCTCTCATAAAATCAAACCCACAGTAGCATAAAATTGGATAGATATGTTGTGAAAGCATAAAATTTTCTACCACATTAGAGAAGAGGGGTAGAAATTAAAGGACAGCAAAACATAACCATAAGTCCTCAACTTAATCTGAGGTCTTTCTAATACATTGCATTGATAGCTAAATCATAAAATAAGACACATTCCAGGTAGTCTCAGATTTGATGCTTGGAGTTCCTCAGTCGCCATTTGACGTGGTCTCTCCAAGCTAGCTCTCATCAAACGACTCGTATATTCCAATTTCTTTTGAGCTATTTCTGCACTTTCTTCTGCTTCAAGCCGAGCAACACGCTCCTTTGCCACTTCTTCTTCAAGATGCTTAATATCCAACAGAAGGTTAGAATTAACCTGTCAAATATGTTAACACGCGCGGCTGTTTGTTTAGCTGTTTCTCCCTCGTAGATATCCAACCAACATTCCCTTGGAATAACATTCAATTGATATCCAACCAACATTTGCAACTAGACAAGATTTTGATGAATACAACCAATTAGTAACAGTTAAATACGTACCTTTAAATCCTTGAACAAGTCGCTTGTGTATGGTTTTCCACCATTCTTTTCTACAACAAAATTCACATGCAAAAGAAGATTACTCAATTGGTCAGCTACCTTTTTTGGATCCTTAGTCTTATTGTCAAAAAGCACTCGTCTTTCTCCACACATGCTGAGAGTTCCCTGTAATTGTATAATCCAATATATAGGATCAGCCTTCACAGGCATGAGCATCATAAAGAGAAAAGGAAAACTGATTAAGATGTTATACTAGATATCGATCCATCACACAAACTGTATAACAAGCAGATGCAAATAAATTTTATTAGTAGATAGCGCTGTCAGCTTACTCCAAAAGCTAGCTAGGGTACGAAAATATCCGAGCATAAAGATCTCCATCTAACCTGTAAGGCTTCGGGGCAAAGACCTAAGTAGTCATCCAAAGTCTCATCATTTTCATCAAACTCATCTCCTCCAGTGAATACCACGATCATGTAGTCACTAATTTTGCTCCCAAAGAGGTCCAAAAAGCTTTGAAAAGTAGCTTGTTCTTCTCTTGAAAACCGAGTTCTTATGGACAGAACTAGAAGTACAGCATGGACACCATCGTTGGCCAAATCGATGCATTTAACAAGTTCATTTAGAACATAATCAGGCCCACGGGATATATTAAACAGTCCTACAGTTTCCACAGCGTCAGCCATATCAGTAACTTAACAGATCACGAAACAAAAAAAGATGCAGCAAACATATGTTAGTCGAGAATTTGATCTTACTATTTTGTATACATTATAACCATTTGCACATTTTGTACATAGATCATACCGAATACAATGGGATCAATTAAACTGACAGGAGATCAATAAATAAATTACAGTAGATCTTTGTAGGATTATTATTTTTCTATTCAAATTCTAACTGGACATAGGAGATCATTTCCTCCCTTGGATCTGCCTCTCGCAGCAAGTACCAAATTGTTGTTTTACAGACAGGTGAAAAATGTTAACAAATCACAGACATAAGCGCAGTGAAGAATTCTTAAGAGTTATCATTGACTATAGAATGAAACTCTCTTAGAGTTCTTACTGAATATTATATACTCCTACAAGATACTTTAAACATATAATTATGCTAATTATAGTTAAAGAAGAAATTTGGCTACATATATACCAGGGGTATCGATCACATTCAACATGTTTCCGTCGTCTAATTGAGACCACTGAAGCTGACAAGTAGTTGTAACACCAGAAGAGCAATGCATTGACCTGAATGCAGTTCTGCCAAGAATACTATTGCCCGTTGCACTTTTTCCATCACCTGTACGCCCAACAAGAAGTAGTGTCCGGTCTCCATTATCTGTAGTAATTTCCGGATCATTGTTCATTGCACTTCCACCCATCTTATCTTGTTGAATCAAATAACCTACAGCAAAAGGTCGGATCAGAATAATTATATAAAAAAGCAGAGTCCACAAGCACTTCTCTGTAGAGGAAATGTAGAATTATAACCATATTGGAAGGAAATAATTGAAACAAGTACGTAAAGATCTTCGTGGGACCGTGGATGGAGTCTCAATACATCTTTTCTAAAAGAGATCTTTCAATTGATAGATTAAAGGCTACTATATGTGAAAGTGAAACAGAAATTCACTTAAACCTTTAAGAGACAATCAAGGTGGTTGTACAAACACTACAAGAATATAGCGTATTACATGGGGATTTTTCTGGAAATTATAAAAGAAAATTCGCGGGTAATTCAATTTTCTTGCGGATTTTCCTTCCAAAAAAAATCCAATGGAAAAACCTTCGTAGGTAATTATTACTTGCTGATTTTAGAAATCCCAAGGGAATTTTGAATCTGCATGTGAATTAGCCGGGGATTTTAGATCCGCACGTAAATTACTTGCGGATATTTTGGTCCCAAGGGAATTTTGAATCTGCATGTGAATTAGCCGGGGATTTTAGAACCGCACGTAAATTACTTGCGGATATTTTGGTCCCAAGGGAATTTTGAATCTGCATGTGAATTAGCCGGGGATTTTAGAACCGCACGTAAATTACTTGCGGATATTTTGGTAAGAAATACCAAAAATCGAATGAAACTTTTGGTAAAAGATCACCAAAGAAAGGAGTTTTCTTACAGATTTTCCTAGGGAAATATCTGCAAGTAAATCCCCATAAATTTACAAATGAATTCTTTAGAAATTTTTAGACAAAAAATTATATTGTCATAATATTTTTATTTTCAGAATTACTTTCTGAAATATTATATCCTCCTACAAGATACTGTAAACATATTATTATGCTAATCAAGCTAATTATAGTTAAAGAAGAAATTTGGCTATATATATACCAGGGGTATCAATAACTTTCAGTATGTTTCCGTCGTCTAATTGAGTCCGCTGAAGCTGACAAGTAGTTGTAACACCAGACGAGCAATGCATTGACCTGAATGCAGTTCTTCCAAGAATACTATTGCCCGTTCCACTTTTTCCATTACCTGTACGACCAACAAGTGGTGTCCGTTCTCCATTATTTCTAGTAAATTCCCGATCATTGTTCATTGCATTTCCACCCATCTTATCTTGTTGAATCAAATTACCTACACCAACAGGTCGGGATCAGAATAGAAACAGCAGAGTCCACGAGCACTTCTCTGTAGAGGAAATGTAGAAATATAACCATATTGGAGGAAAATAATTGAAATAGCATCGAGCAATCATTCAGTGTTATGGGGTAGAGAATAAAAAACAGAAGCAAAAGATGACAAGAATAACATTTTCTACATTTTATAGAAAACACAAATTTGGACCGTCGACATGAAATCATGTATAACACGAGAATGAAATGGGCATAATCAGTAACAAGGAGTAAAAAAACAAAAGAGAGAAAGTAAGAAGGAAAAGAACAACTTTTTGCTGACCTTGACAAAGAGACTGCAGTTCGGAATACAGAGAGTTGGATCAACTGATGAGAATAAATAAGCCTTTCTTGAAAAAAGAGTATCGTGGCTTTTCATTCTCCAATCCAACACATTCACTTACTATTTACGTGAACATCTTTCTACCTTGGGACACTTAATAGTCGCAATTTTTTAGCTGATGTTGGCGCTCTGAATTCTTTTGAATAATAACTTTTTGAGTTTAAAACAAGACCCTTCTTGAATGTAAAATTGGTTGCATTTAAATTTTAAACCCGTGCTTTTGTGTTAGTATTTCATTTTCTTTTAAATTTTTACAGGGTTGCGACACTAATTAAGCACTCTCACTTTAACGCTCATCAGTCATCAGCTCGATAGTCAAAAAAAACTAGTTTAAAGCCACTTCAAACTTGCAGCATTGTAGTGAAATTATGTAAGAGATTCCTTGAAATTTAACAGCTGCCTTAATCCAGTTCTAAAGTGCAACAGCCTTTCCTCATTGAAACACAAGGAGCGTTTACTCCCCAGATGACTATGGCGAAAAAGAATCCATCCATCTGAAATCAATTTAGAACCTAAACAAAAACTCTTGACCAGAAAGGAACAGTTTGCCATTGGCATTAAGATGAGATGTTTGCTCAGACACTCCACCATATACCTCCAGACAACACATGCTAAATGAGCGTAATCAGAATGTTGGACCAGCTGACAAAATCGTGCTCCAAGCACCCAAAGTGGAGTGCGAAGAAACAGTTTTAAAGTACTTGCCAAACACTAAGGCTACAAATTTACAAGAAAAAACTAAACTACCGACCCCCTTGAAGCGCAAAAACAAATAAAGAAAAGGGAACAAACAAACCAACATTCTAAATAGATTCTACACTAAATATGCTAGATAATTGTTCTAAAACAAATCGCTTCAGCAATCTAAGGCTCCAAATTGGAACGCTCTTCCGTCACAACTACCTGAACTTCGTTCGCTTAGGAGCAGCAGAATTTGGACCAGCTCGTGACTTCCCAAAGTTCTTCTTTCTCCTCCTCTCGTCCTCACTATCTGATTCATTCCCCTTCTCCCTATCTGCGTTGCTTGCCTCCTTCTCCAACTCCTCCCATGTTTTGCCTTTTTCATCCTCTGAGTCTTCCTCATCATCTTCTTCCTCTTCTTCCTCGGAATCAACCAGAGATTCACTATCAGAGTCATCGTCATCTGAATCTGACTCAGGTTCGGCATCTGAAGGTTCATAACCTTGATCTGATTCCTCTGAATATCCAGATTCTGAGTCAGAAGCATCTATATTTAAAAATTCCCAGCCACCTTCATCTATAAACTTTTGAGGGTCACTAGTTATGGTCTTCAATACTTCACGCCAATTCAGATTCATCTTGCTCTCATAATATTTGATGTCAGTTGTGTCAAGCCACTCCTTGATGCCATCAAGTGCAGAGGTCGGGATGGAATCTATGCGCATGACATCACGCTTGAAGTCCTTGAAGACAATTGCCATATCAAAATTCTTCTGCCCAAACCCAACTCTCTCCAAGTTCACAATCTCAATTTCACTTAAGGTTATCACAAGAAATGGGGTCTCTATCAGCTCAACCAAACAGCTTGAGGTTGGCACAATGAATGCTGATGATTTATAGGGGACTCCATGGAACCCAAGTTCTCTCAGAGGTTGATCAAACTCCAGGTCGAGTCCTTTAAACTGGGGCTGGCTCCACATATCATTCACCCGGTTCACAAAATTTTGGAAGTCCATGTTGATTTTGTTCTTCCGATCTCTTTCTCTCTGTTNTAGTGCCTCTTTCCTATTTGACTCAGTTTTCACTTTAACCTCCTCCTCCTCTTCCTCCTCTTCATTGAATGAATAGGCTACATCCTTCAAGGCTTTGGAGCTCAGCTGAGTAACCACCTCACGGCCATCGTTTGTGACAATAATTGTATCTGCTAACAAAAGTGAAAAATTCCTACTCTTTTCTTTGCTGGTCTCAGTTTGCAAATTCTGGAAACCTAGTGACACATTGAAAACCATTCCCTCTCTCAGCACCTTCTCATTCTTAACATTAAGGATCAGCCCCGACTCCCGGAACTCGAGACCAATCCCAGTCCCAGCAGATTTTGTTAGGTTGTTAATCAATTCAGGAGCATCCCTCTCAACTACTTCAAGAGCTGCTTGATACACGGCACTAAGCTTGTTTCCCGCCTTCAATGCACCAATTGCTGCCTCATGAGCTTTAAGAAGAACCTCATAAGCCTTGGTCTGCTTCGAAGTTGAATCAATAAGAAATGATCTGGCAACATTTGAACAGTAGCTGTTGTACCGCGATCCAACTGCACATACGATCACACTGGCAGAATCATAGTACAAATGGTCATCATTGCTTGTAGCACTAGGTCTAAGATCGAAATTCCCACCACTCTGGAAGATTGGAGGGTAACATATGTCAACATTCTCAGCTTTCAGCTTCACCTTGATTTTAGTAGGTTCCAGAATAGCCTTTTCTGTGTCATCCATTAATAAGGAATGAGTAACTTTCTTCTCCTCATCAATAATTTTCTCAAGCTTTGGAACAACATAGTTCTTCATTGCAGAAGCAGTCAAATATGCAGCTTTCTTCACGTTTATTATCTCACTCTGGTCCTTCACGGCAAAGAGGTTAGCCAGCCCATTTGTGATATCACTAAGAGAAAGGCTTGAATTTCTCATCTTATCGGTCCATATCTCCAAGAGTTTTCCTTCAGGCGCCTCTTTTGCAATATATCCAATGACTGAGGTATCACGACCATCTGACTTTGACTGCATACGGATAGCCCGGAGCACATTTTCCATTTGAGCAGTCCCATCTTCACTTTTCCCCTTCACATGCATGACAACCTCCACATTCACAGCCTCTTTAGCAGCGGATTTCACAACATTGAGCAACGATGCCTTCTTCTGGCTACACAAAAAATGTATCTCCTTGTCTCCAAAAACCATAATTGTCTCGGGGAACTCATACCCTAGCAACCAAATATTGACAGCTGAGGATTTCAAGTATCTCAAGTCCTCCGAAGGTGGCGGTGTAGCTATAGCAAGTACATCAGAAGAACCCCAAAAGTCATCTTTATGTTCGCGCCAGTGTGAATATAGGGCCTTCAGTCGGCTACTGAAAGTATTCAAGTCAATTGTATAAGCATTTCCACCTGCCACACTCCCATTTGAAGGTGGTCCATTTCCATTTCTCTCTTCAACCATGGCTGCGTCAATAATTCCTTCACTAATGTAGACAAGAAAAGACAATCACATGCAAGTTAGTAAACAACGAAGAGGCAACATACCATACAACAACAATAATAATAACAACAACAACAACAACAACAACAACTATGCCTAAGTCCCAAACAAGTTGGGATCGGCGATATGAATCCGCATTCCTTTCATTTAGCTCAACTCATATCATCATTATCAAAATAAATAAAAGAGCAAGTATGTCTTTTCAAAAAGAAACCTAAGAAAAGGGAAATGACTTCGAATGGTTAACACCTTCACTGCAAAAATTTATGGTCCGGAAAAAAATTAGGGCTTTTCCATATAACTGTGCAAACACCCAAATTAAAAACATGACACAAAACTTAGTAAGCACATTTCCATCAAATATACCTAAGGTGCAACAAAATTAGGGTTTCAAGAAAGCTAAGAATAACACAACAGCCTTCAAACCAAACTTAAAATATCTAAAAATTTAAAACACTCCTCGAAGAAAAACAGAAACCCCAAAAAGAGTACCATCGAATCATACACTTCGGTTCCAACTCCAAATTAGGTTTCGGAAGTCGAAAGAATACAATAAAAAATGTACAAATTGTAGAAACAGAGGGAAAGAAAAAACTCACAAATTTAAGTTAGCCTGTAAACTTTGGATCCGAGAATCCGCCGATTAGGGCTAAATTCCGATAAATTAGGTAAAATATAAGTTGTTTGCGGCGGCGCAAGAAGTCGGTTGAGGGTTTCAGATACTCTTTAACAATAAATAAGCAGGAAAAATACTGAATTATTGAGAAAAAAATCAAATGAATAGCAGGAAAGTAAAGCAAAGAACGAAAAGAGGGTTCACAAATCGAAGAACGAAAGGCAAATGCGAAGGGAAGACAGGCCGAACGAGAGAAGAAAAGAGAAGCTCTGGTTATATGGAGGGAGAAAAAATAACAGAGCGAATGATTTATTTGAAATTCGGTGAGTCTAGAAACTTCATTATTTTTATTTGGGTAACTATATTAAATAAGGTTTGTAGTTTCATGGAATTACATAAATGCCACCAACATTTCAACTTAAGTGGCAGTTTCGTCCTTCATGATATTTTAGTCTGACGAAACAATCACTCACATCAGGGAAAATCAAAGGTTGGATGAAATCTTAACAGGGGTCTTAACGTAATTTCACAACACTAAATGAGAAGACTAATCTAGATTAGAAGGGTAATAAGGTACTTTTAGCTGTCTAGGAATGTCTTTCTTTTACTAACGAAGGCGTTCAAAAAGTGTACTCTAGTTCCCTCCAAAATCCGCAAATGCTCTTTTCTGAAAAAATATGAAACAATTATCGGCATATTTTATGTGACATAAATAGTTAAACCGGTTCCTTATACTAGGATTAGGGGAACCTTAACCCTTCTTTTTAACACAATAAAACATAAACGTAAAAAATTTAGGTATTTGGACATTTTTTGTTGCAATTAGAACAAAAGTATTTGAAGTTAAAAATTAAAGTTGAAATTTATTTTTGTACGTGAAAATCACTATTTCACTTGAAATGTTCTTATACGTTGTTAAATAATTTATCATTATCTTAAATATTGAGGCCAAACCAATATCACTAATATCAAATATCGAAACATTATTTAAATTTTTCCGTTTTGCGTTACTTTGCATTTTCAAATAATGAAAAAAAATAGCTTTCACAAAATTTGACATAAGTTTTATCAATAAATTCACCATAAGCTTTTATTTTAAATCTCAAAATTTCTTTAAATTATTGGGTCCTTGCATTTATCTTTGACAATTTATTGTCTAATTGTTTGATCACACTCATCAGTTTTAAGAATTATCGCTTTAAAATATATAATTCTTTTCATTCTCAATTTTTGCTCCTCAATTTAGCTCAAGTCTTTTCCAAAAGCTTCAAACCTGACTCAACACAAGAGCATTCCAATAAATCCACTTCGACATCTTATACCAGCACTCGAACTAAATTTTTCATGTAAATAATTCTTATAACTCTAAAAATTATTCTTTTGAAACCGGCATATTTGACAGAACGCGGCCCGAATCAGATTATTTTCCGGTCAAATGTGACATATCGCCAATTAACTTAGAAAATGCTCGATACATTGAAGAAAATCTACACACTAACAGTTATATTTATATTATTTTACTCACTAATTTTAAAGTATATGTGTCGCATGTGTACCTCATATCCTTTTAAGAATTACATAATCGTTATTCAAAAATATATTTAAGTTATAAAATAAAAATAAAACAAACAATTCATTTTGAAAAAATGATAAAATGATTTGGCTTTGTACGTTTATACTTTGAAGCTTCATAATAACATATTTAGGTTTACTAGTTTTAGTGTAAGCGCGTTACGTATGTACCATGTATAAATAATAAGAAGAAAAATTGTGTTACATCTATGTTTTCACTGTCTCGATTCAGTCTTGAAACCAAAGTATTTGATAGCTCGCGGTCTTAGATAAATGAGGATAATGATCGTCGCGTGAACCTCTATAAGAAGTTAAAACAATCCTTTCATGTAGATGATTTTTTTTCTTTTTTCTTTTTTCTTTTTAGTTTTTTATTTCGGTTACAGTAAACTTATTTTTGTTACTCAATCTGTATTGTTGTAATAAACAATAAAAACATTAAATTTTCTGAAATAGAAACAGAAACAGAAAGTTAGTAGAACCAGTTTAACGAAATAAATTTTGAAAAATAATATCGGAATAAATCGAGCTCACTGAATGCATAGTGTGTCTTTAAGAAAATTACTCCCCTCAAGTACCCGGGGTGCTGGAATATTATCCTCCCAGGATAGAACGATTCAACTCACCAGTGTATTGGTACCAAAAAAGCGGGTGAACTTCGAACCACTCAATGGTCTTAAAACACACTGAAAAAATGTTGTGCGGAAGAAAAAGAAGGAGATAATCATAAAATTTAGTAAGTAAATATTCTGGGATTCAAGGCATATTTATAGACTATTTGGCACTGTTTCTGAAAAGGTTTGCAACTTTTCAGAAACAGCCATAACTGTTGGAATAAGTGGGAATATTTCAACAGAAATAATGCGGGAAAACAGAAAACGGATTTAAAATAATCCGGGAAAGAAAACGGACCAGACCGGGTCGCGTCGCGGATCCTGGGTTAATCTGGATTGAATTTTTGTTAATTAATTAAATTAATTAATTAAATAATTGAAAGAAATTTTGTCCAAAAAGATTAATCAATCAATCGATCTTTGACCAAATCCGAAGCCGAAGCCGAGCCGAGTGAGCGACGACGACGGCGCGAGGCTTGCCTTCTTCTTGACTCTTTAAGAGCTAGAAGAAGAGCAATTATATATATACCCATCAAAAGTTTTTTCTTCCTACAATATGGGACAATGTCCCTTTGCCAAGGAGGAAAACTCAAATATTTCATTTTCCCTCCATTTTTTATTCACCCTCTTTAAGCTACACCAGACTTAAAAGCCCAACAATCCCCCACATGAATGGAGAATGGCTATAAAATAAAGGAATTCACGGACGCGTGTGTGTTTTACATGCAAGAATTAATTGCATCTGGATAAGTAAGTTTCTCTTTGAACTTTCCGTAGTGAACTTATATCGGATATACTCGGTCAATCAGTAGATTTGATATCTTTGAACCGTCGAGCTTTGTTGTATACCTAGACAACATAAGTCACACAATTAACCCTTAACCATCTATGGTTCTCACGGTTGTGTTCGTTTCAACCATGAACACAGTCTGGTTTCATGAGTGCTTAGAGAATGGGCCTTTACTTTCATTCCCCTTAAAGCAGCTTACACTTCACTCTCACATAGGTGATTTCTAAACGTGTAATCCTATAGACATACTATCTGGTCATATCCTGCCAGCCTTAGCAAATCATTAAAAAGCTTTAAGCTTAATGCTTTACTTCGATTTCTGAACATTGTCTTCATCGCGATAATGAGGTGAGTTATTTGACAATGTTGAACCTTCATAACTTTGTTTGATCTCTTTGAACCTAGCTCTTGGGGTCTCCAGTCTGCTAGGTAGAGTTACTGTTATGATGACTTGTCCTAGGCCTTAACCCTATTCCCTTTGATGATCTTTCAACTGCCTCTCTAGATAGGCATTTTGTAAGTGGATCTGACACGTTATCTCTTGACTTTACGTAGTCAATCGTGATAACACCACTAAAGAGTAGTTGTCTAATGGTATTGTGTCTCCGTCGTATATGACGAGATTTTCCGTTATACATAATGCTCCCTGCCCTGCCTATTGACGCTTGACTATCACAATGTATACAAATTGGTGCCAAAGGTTTGGGCCAAAATGGAATATCTTTCAAGAAATTTCGGAGCCATTCAGCTTCTTCACCGGTCTTATCTAAAGCTATAAATTCATATTCCATCGTAGAACGGGCGATGCACATTTGTTTGGATGATTTCCAAGACACTGCTCCACCCCCAATTGTGAAAACATATCCACTTGTGGATTTAACTTCAGATGATCCGGTGATCCAATTTGCATCACTATATCCCTCGATCACGGAGGGATATTTGTTATAATGCAAAGCGTAATTTTGAGTATGTTTCAGATACCCCAAAACTCGTTTCATTGCCATCCAATATATTTGACTGGGATTACTTGTAAACCAACTCAGTTTACTAATAGCAAATGTTATATCTGGTCGTGTACAATTAATGATATACATCAAACTTCCCAATACTCTTGCATAGTCAAGTTGTGAGTCACTTTCACCTTCATTCTTTTGAAGTGCATAACTCACATCAATTAGAGTCTTGGCAATTTTGAAATCCAAATACTTGAACGTGTCAAGTACCTTTTCAATGTAGTGAGACTGTGATAATGCTAGACCTTGTGGAGTCTTGTGAATTCTGATTCCTAAGATCACATCAGCAACTCCTAAGTCTTTCATATCGAATTTGCTAACCAACATGCGCTTAGTAGCATTTATATCTACCATATTTTTACTCATTATCAACATGTCATCAACATATAAATAAGCAATGACTTCATGTCCTGGGGTGTTTTTAATGTAAACACATTTGTCACACTCATTGATTTTAAACCCACTTGCCAACATTGTTTGGTCAAATTTGGCATACCATTGTTTGGGTGCTTGTTTAAGTCCATAAAGCGACTTAATAAGTTTGCACACTTTCTTTTCTTTACCAGGAACCACAAAACTCTCAGGTTGTTCCATGTAAATTTTTTCCTTCAATTCTCCATTTAAGAAAGCTGTTTTAACATCCATTTGATTGATTTGAAAACCATACACGACCGCCAGTGCCACTAATACCCTAATAGATGTTATCCTAGTTATTGACAAGTAAGTGTCAAAGTAATCAAGGCCTTCCTTTTGTCTATAACCTTTGACAACAAGTCTTGCCTTATATTTGTCAATAGTGATATCAACTTTTATTTTCCGTTTAAAGATCCATTTCGAACCTAAAGGCTTATTTCTCGGAGAAAGATCAACCAATTTTCATGTATGGTTATCCAAAATTGATTGAATATCACTATTGACCGCCTCTTTCCAAAATGCTGAATCAGAAGATGACATAGCTGCTTTAAAAGTTTGAGGCTCATTTTCAAGCAAGAATGTCACAAAATCTGGTCCAAAGGAAGTAGATGTTCTTTGACGTTTGCTACGCCTTGGATCTTCTACACTTGGAGTATTTTTCTTTGGTTCTTCCCAAGGTCGTTTAGATCTTTCACTAAATGACTCGCATTCAGTTTTATACGGATAGATGCTTTCAAAGAATTCAGTATTATCTGATTCCATTACCGTATTAACATGAATTTTGGGATTATCGGATTTATGAACCAAAAACCGACATGCTTTACCGTTTGTAGCATATCTAATGAAAACACAATCTACAGTTTTTTGTCTGATTTTAACCCTTTTAGGTAAAGGAACT